CACAACTCGATAAAAGCCCACAACAATTTTGACCAGCAAACAAAAATGTTGCTTGATTGAATTTGGCTTGGGTTCGTCAGGTTGCGCATACGACATGTTGTACAAAATATAGCTACATATATATTAAATATATATATTTATATATATATACATATTTACCACAAAGCTTCGATGCGAGTCTAATTAAGAGTCGCGACGCACTTTAAATTAATTGAATGGTCGCTTAATAGGATTTCGCAGTGGCTTTTATGGCAACTGTAAAAGGACACGTTTATTGCTCCTAAAATTATGCAATGATTTTTTTTTGGCTTTTTGTTTTTGTTGCTGCTTAATTTATTGTTTTAATTTTTAGCCGCAATATTGCCGCCCGCTGTTGCCAGCCGAGCAGGCAAAAGGCTCTTTAGCCCTAGCTTACAAAACTTTCGCTCTTTTATTTGGCCAAAGTGTTAAGAACTCGTGTAAATTCCATTAATACCACAGCAAAATGAAGTAAGGGGAAGCAGGCAGAGTTAAGCCCAAGCCACATTCGATAAATCAACAACGAACAACGAACAAGGAACAAGGAACAACGACAACAACAGCTACGACAACAGACCCTAAAGGCAGCTCGCTCGCACGCTTAGCTTAGCCGTCGAAAATTATGCAACACGCGCTATAAATATGCAAATTTTTTTGGTGCCTCACCAAACTTATCAATGTTAATTACGGCGCCTGACAATTTCTGACTAGCTCCGAATACCCTGTAGTCGTCTTAGTATGCTGAAGTCTTTATAAAAGATATAGTGATGTAACTACTTTAACTGAAGAGTATCTAGCAGTCTAATATGCCTCTTTTCAGCATTTAACTTTTTCTTGTGTTACACTCTGCTATACTCCTATGCCTCATAGCTTTAGATCTTTCTCCAATCCACATCCTTACGCCAGAAATTGTGTATATAACAGTCAGCTATACTCCTGCATGTCTACTGCTAGAGATATTAATAGATATCTCTCTTTGGCTCTTTTTTCTAGCAACAGAGTATCCTTTAGTGTGCTATACTCATCCACACATTGTCCTCTCCTCTACTATCTTCTAGCTTTTATCTCTGCTTTAACAGCCTGTTAGACTCATATCTCCCTCTCTCTCTCTCTATATCTTTGCTAACAGTGTATCTAGCAGTCAAGTATACTCTTACATATCCAATACTGTACTCCACAAGCAACTAGCTTTCATCTTTTTCTATGCTTGACTTCCTTATGTTGTATCAAGTCATCTAGAACACAATAATTCTAGACTCCTAGGGCTGTCTATGTATCTCTCTTTCACTCAACTAAGACTATTTTTGTTACAAACAGAGTATCCATTAGTCTGCTATGCTCAACCTCACATTGTTCTCTATACTCTCTTCTAGTTTTTATCTGCTTTACAACTGCTCATTCTTAGGCAGCTTCTCTCTGTCTCCCTCTCTCTCTCTCTGCTAACAGTGTATCTATCCGTCTAATATGCCCCTACCAACTTTCACTTATCTCCCTTTCTCAATTTGCATAATTTTTGAATTTTTATGAAATTTGAATTGCGCTAATCGAGTAGAAATTGCAAGGGCTAAATGTGGCGACAATTACAACTGCGACATATCAGCCATAAATAGCTTTGTAGAAGCCATGGTCATTACGCATACTCATTGAATGTGTTTGATTTGCAGTTGCCACGGCCTTGAGGCGCTGCCAAAACTCATTAGCCAAGAAATGTTGCTCATTAGCAGCAGGTAAAAGTAATATGTGGCACGCACACATAGCCAGCTCAATGTTTGTATGACCAGAACGTGTACTACCTTATAGATAGTATACCCAAGGCAGAGGGCCTCAAGTAAGAACAGGAAAATCAACTAGAAAATTGCGCTGTCAATGTTTTTCGCGTTTCATTCGTTTCTGTTTGCATTTTGGCAGTGCCACAGACCAAGAGAATTGGTCTCTTGTCTCTTCCGTTTTGCGCTGTCGCAATTTTATTTTTCAATTAGGCAAACAACAACAGCAACAACGAGTAGAACAATAGCTGCCAATAAAATTTAACATCACTCAAATGCACACACGACTGAATTGTTTAGAATTAAAGCTGTTCCCAAATTGTTGAAAAGACAATGATGTTTCCATTAAACAAAATCAAAAAGTTATCGATCATTCAATTTATCAATTAAGTCGAAAAGATATCAGGGGTATTCCCATAATCATTTCATAAGTATCTTTTTCTTTTAGTCTAGCTCAGAGAAGACGTCAAAGCACAGAACAAATATCGATTGGCAGCAACGATAAGAAACGAATTAAGGGTATTCCCTAACTTGTAAAAGCAATACTCCAAACTGAAATATTTGTTGAATTTCAAAAAAGTATTTGTTTTTTAACCTAATTGAACTTCATCAAGTGATTAGCCAGGAAATTTGATAATGAGCTTAGATAACTATAAAGTATGGGGTATTCCCTATCATATCAACTGACCAGTAAATAAATATATAAAATATGCTATTGAAAAATATACAAGATATCAGATTTTCAGCAACTGATATTAAGAATTACAGATAAGATTAAGTAAGGTATTCCCACACTTGTAGCATTTACTTCCGATATGCAACGCCCGCATCAACTGTTTAGTAAGACATTATAATTCAAATTTTAGCAATAAATGTAACACGTATTCCCGTAACTCTATCTAAATAATTAACTTCAATTAACAAGAGTTATTCAAAGGCTAAGGTAGAACAAAGTTGACTGTATTCTCTAATGATGATGACCATGCTGAGCCCAATAATTATATAAATAATTTAAACAACCGAAAAAACAACTGACAAACGATGACGGCACGTGGTCATCAGTTTTTTGTTTGGTTTTTTTTTTTTTTTTGTTTTCGGTTTCTTTTTTTTGGGTGGGTGGGCAAACAAAATACAAATATAATAACCCCCGTCACAACATTCAACTGAAATGGCAATTAAAAGCACATTTTCATGTTGCGACTCTCTCACAGAGCAACACGAGAACCGGAAATCGGCCAAAACAAAACAATGCACAAATATTTGCTCATTAACGCTTAATTTTAAGAGAAATAAATACTTAATGATTGAATACTTACCCGCTAGCTGAAACAGAATGGGAAATGCGAGGGAAACCAGATATAGACAATGGGAAAAGCGTGATAAGGGTCATGTAACGACAGCCACAACAGCTAAGCAGACTTTCGATTCATTAAAACTGGTTTATATAATCAGAAGCAGTCGATAATATGTATCGATCGTGTGTCGATTAATATTTAACTTTATATAATTCTGCATAAATTATATATCAATTAAAGAAGATATTTTCAAGATTGATATTTTTTTCTAAAGCTGCCTATCGATTATTACAGCTATCGATTTTGACTATTTTATGAATATAATTCGACTTTTTCGTTGTTAACTTTTCAGCAAATTTTGGTAATTATCGATTGAAATTTTATTTCGATCATAAAACTATCGATTTATATATTTTTTTATATTGATAAGTTTGAATTTTTGAAATTTTCTAGTCCATACTTTTAGTAAAATGGTATCGATAGTTAACTTTTCAGCATATGCAACTTATCGATAAATAAGGCAATAGATTCTGACTCGCTATCGATTATGAAATTATCGTTCTATAACTTTTTAACGTACTGATGCATATTTTTCACTATTTATCATCATTTTCTGCTGAATAAATGCAAATTCTTTTGTCATATGTCAGTTATCGATTAACTATCGAGTTTTAACAGCCTTTTAAAATTTAAATGCAATGCAAACTGATTTTAATTGAAATTTTAAAAGCATTGCATAGTAATGGAAAATTTCTGAGATACTTGCGGTTTATGTCGCTCGACACGTTGAACGCATTAACAATCTCCATAATACAGGCACACATTAACAGATACGAAAAACAAGCTTTCCATATATACGTAAATACATATATATGTATATATTATTCATAAATGCGTGCGGCATGTCGAAAAGGGTATATTAAAAATAAAAAGACGAATTTTAAGTGAGGCTATCACATAAATATGCATAAAGGCGAAACGGGTGGGCTGAAGCTTGGGGCTATGCTTTGCCGAAAATATTTTGTAAGCCGCAGTAAAAATGTTAATTTTCTTTTCTGATTGAGTATACGCCACGTTGTCAAGCGCGAATTCAATCAATTGACGGAAATTTTAAGCAGTCGAACCTAAATATTCTAGGAAATAAAATATGAAAGCTTGATTGACTGGAAGATACTCTGTACTGAAGTGGAAGTAAGTGCAGGAATACGCAGATACCCTGCTTCTCCTTTTGAATGCGATGGCAGGCTATTACATCTTAATACTTGGCCTAATAATAATTGAAAAATATATAAAAATAAATTCGAAATTTTATGGCTCAATCAATTTAAAAGCTATACGCTTAACAGCTGCAGCCTTACCTTCCGTCTTTATGAGTACAGGGTATCAATAAAGACAGATTAGCAAATCAAATCAAATCAATTCCGATGACTGCGGCCTGCCGCTGACTGACACAATTATTTGAAAGGAAATACAAAAAGAAAAATAAGAAGAAGAAAAAAAGCTGAGTTGGAAAAATGTTGTGTGCGTCTTTATGGAAATCTTTGTCCCTGTGCCGTTTGCAGTTCAATGAAGCGACTGCGGAAGCTGTGTGGATGTTCGTTAGCTGTGGCAATGGCATGCCAGGACAAGGCGTGCTTCAAATTGTGAGTGTGTGCGGGTGTGTGTGTGTGCTTAAATATTTTGGCAACGGGAAATTAAATACGCTTGATTAATTATAAATTTGAGGCAACACAAATTACCATCATTTAATTAAAACATACAAAATTTGAGACTCCCTCCCGCCCTGAGTAATGAGCAAATATTTGGCATTGTTCTACAGGCAGCTCAAATTCAGGCTCATTAATAGTCTTACATTTTATATATATACGTATATAACGGTTTGGTTAGTTAAGGGAAAAAACTGTTTAACGAATCGACTCACCTGATGACATAATTAACGCAGACAACACTCTGCGGCCTTAGCTTATCGTAAACAATCGTTGCCTGAGTCACGATCCAGCAGTAGCCGCCATATTTGCCCAGCAAACGATAGCGACACGTCTCGCCCTGTCCCTTGTTCATAACTGTAAGATATAGATGGAGAGCGATATGCATTAGTTAAATATATACGTTTTATATAAATCAAATTACATTAGACCCAATTGCGGCTGACACCGAGCACCATAAAAGCAATAAGAATTTTTTACTTTCAAATTGTTTTGCGGCTGAACATTTCAAATGCTGAGACACACTTAACTTGATGCTTTTGTGTATATAGTGAAAAAACCAGGGCTGGTTGACTCAAGTAAACTAAAGCCGGGCTTCAAGCGTGTTTAAAATATATATTTTTGGAATATGTGTAACTCAGCTTTCAGGCTAAAATGTTTTATGATTTAGCTTAAAGTAAACAAAATACTAAGACAAATTTAATTCATTATCGATAAATATCGATTTTTGTCTTTAACTGATTTATCAGTTTTTTTTTTATTGCTTGAAGATACTCACAAAAATATCTGAGCAACTTTAATTATTTTTAAAATGCGTGCTAAAATCTATAACTACAGAAACTAGCTGATATTTTTATATAAGCAAAATGTATTTACTTCTATGAGTTAGTCGTAAAAACCTTTCTCGAATTATCTTGCACACTTACAGACCCTCATTAGCTTTACCCAGCCCTGGTTTTGGTTTACAGATTTAGTTTAAAGCAAATAGACGCAGGTTTCAAATGACGCGTTTTTGGTTTGTTTTCTTTTTTGGCCAAAAGGCAGCCAAGCATAGAAATAAAATAATTGCTGGGCCCACATAAAAACCACTCGAGTTGGTTGTACTACATGCGACATCAGAGAGTTGCTAAGTAATGTCAATTTATATATATATATATATATATATATATATATATATATATATATATATATATATATATATATATATATATACCTACATTTAATGCTCCGCTTAGGTGTCAAACAGTCATGCTTATGGGGCATATAAGCTCAACAATAAAGACGCTTTTAATTAAAAGCGAAGAAAAATTAAATCAAATCAAATAAATATGTGTGTGCGCGACATTAAAGCTTAGAATGTGGGTGTGTTGGTGTAGGTGTGTCTAGCGCTGTGTAGGTGTATGTGTCGGTGTGTGTGTGTGGCTGATGTGACAAAGACACTTGCTGCTCTAAGCTCAATAAAAATTTAATTCGCCTGCCAAGCAGCGCACAAGTCAGGATATAACATGAGAGCAAGGAGTGCACGACTAGAAAATACCGCGAAGAACTCAAAGAGGTGGGGAAACGAAGAAAGTGTCCAGCTAATGGAACATGCTTTTAAAGCATCTATTATCTAATCAAATTTTAAAGATGGTTTTTTATTAATCTGGGTCGACTTCAAGTTAATAATAAGAATGTTTGTTCTGAGTTTTATAGACGACTTTCACGTCTCTAATTTATGATCGTTTGAGCTGCAATTCCTGATCAAAAGGTTCAGTAACGCCTCCTTCTGTCTTTTACATACATAACAAAGCGCATATACCCCATTTGCCCGTTTGTAATGGATACAAGGCATACAAATATACGTGGCCGCTGTGCTGATGAAAATTCATAAGCCAAAGGCAGGTACAAACAGCACCTGGGCGGATGGCGATGGGGCGCGTGCACATAGCAATTGAAATTCATGGCCTTTAATGCGTTTTGGTAGAAAAGTTGTGCGTTTTTATTAGTCCAACTTTCAATGATGGCCCACGGACAGGCCAGGTAATTGCCGTTGCCTAATTACAGGCGCAGCTGCTGCTGCCGAATAGAGACATCAACTTCCTGAATGGCCATACATATAGCATAGATATAAACGCAAATAGCTGTACTTAAATTGAATTCGTAAACATAATGTAAAAGCCGCCGCCACAAATCCCAATGAAAGATGAGCGAAAACTAAGGCGTCGCTAGCTTTTTGCCATCATTATGGCATTTAACTAGATACAGCACTATATATGTGTGTATGTATGTGTATATATAGAGAGATATATGCGTGTGTTTATCTCAGTCGCGCATTCACTCAGTCATTCATTCAGTTAATTTGAAATCAGCAGCAGAAAATTAGTTTTTCTTTTGTGCCAGCGCTTGCGGCTTAGTGGCCTCGTGTTAATTTCAGTCAAAAGCAAGCGCCGCGCACAGCACAGTGGTGCCAAGTCTATGTATCTGTGGTGCAAAAGCAAACGTTAAATATATCTTGAATAAATTACACAGATTATATTAGTCAGTAAGTTAGGTAGTCGCTGTCGCAGGACTGAAAAAACTCGGGACTCTAGTCGGGAGTGCCTGACTTGGAGTTACCCTGACTACTTCCTAAAGCTGGAGCTGTATCAAGCATTATAAGCTGGATACAGACATTATGTCAGTTGAAATGAAGTAAGTTAGGCCTAAACGACTGTATACGATTGCTCTTATCGGGAGCGCCTGACCTGGAGTTACCCTGAACACTGCCTTGAGCTACTCTATGATTAATTGCTTTATCTGTGGAGGTAATCAACAGTTTGTTAGCTGCCATACTTAGAGCTCATAGAATTAATATTTTTACCGAAGTGGCAAGCCAATTATGGGCATAAATATATACTTGAAATTATAATCTAAATTTTAGAACTCAATTCAAGGCTCTTTAGCTAAGCGCAAGCCAAAGTTTCACTAACAACATTGGCACTAATTCCATATATATACATGTGTTGTTAAGTTACTAAATTTGATTGTACAGGTTCTACACTTAATACTAAAAATAAAAAATTAATAAAAAAAAAAATAAAATAAAATAGTAACAAAAGATATATGAGAATGTTGATTACAGCTTATGAATGAAATTCTCATATAATTAAATATATTTTTTTAAATAATTAAAAAAGAAATAAAAACTAAATACCAAGAACTTTTTTGCCTTAAGCAAAAATTGATCAATACTCTCGAGCCACTGTGGCTCTACTCTCAGCCACAACTCCGCATAATTATGCCAGGTCATTAATAAGGCAACATCGAAGAGGCTTGTTAGCAAAGTCATGCCCTGAATGTGAACCATATGTGTGAGCAGTGTAAGCCCGGCGAGGCAGGAGATAACTCTAGCTGCTGCTCGCCTGGATTAGGATGCGCACAAAAGTATGCAACATGAAATTGTGTGCAACATTCCAGGCACGCGGCGTCTGCTTGGCCAGAGCCAGAGCCAGAGCCAGAGCCATAGAGCTCAGACGCTTTGGCAGTGTTTATGGAATTAGCAAAGTGCAGCTGCTGGCTGCTGGCTGCTGGCTGCTGGTTGCATTCGCCATGAACTTGATTTGCCCTTAGTCAAGGACTTTTGCGCTGCTAGACAAGTTTCAAGGCAAAAATATTAAAATATCTACGCGCGCACAGCGACAAAAGATCATTTATCTAGAATTTTTAGCAACACATTCCAAAGACGGCAGCAGTCACAGAATTTATGAACACACACAGATAGAGAGAGACTGGAGGAAGAGGTGGAGGTGGAGGTGGAGCAAAGAGACGATTGCAGACAGACAACGAGCAGCCATTTGTACAAATAAGCAAACAGTAGTTGCACTGCAGCAGGACGAACTCAACTGAACTGAACTAAACTTCATTCCGCATTGAGATTGAGATGAATGCAAGACAAACATTCAAACCACATTCGAACCGCATTCAAGGTTATGCATCAAAGTTGAGCAAATAGCAGGTTGCAGCCAGCGCTGCTTAAGCTGCAGCTGCTTTTCAAGCTAAATCTAGCCGTTTTAGAGCGTTGTTATGGACATCATTAAAAAGAAAAGGCAAATTTAGCTTTGATCCTTTTTTAAAGGAATGTTAAGTATGCCTTTTTCTGCGTGTTAAATTTATAATAACTTCACTGAGGCTACAGAAATTTGAATTTCAAGTCTAGAAAATATATTTTCGATATATAAAAATATTTTCTATCTATAGCTAAACACATTTTAGACATGCCAATGTCATTCCTAAAGCCAAAGTAATGAGCAGTCGAATGGCAAATCTTATTGAATATTTCAACACTTATCGCTGTTATCGATAACTCAAATAGCTGCTGATATATATCGAAAATACTATGAAACTTTTGGATTCAGCTCAACACTGAGCGCAGGTTGCATAAGGACAGGATGCACAGGATGCGGCCAGTGGGAAGCTGAGCAGACATGCTCGAATACACGACTAAATCCTTGCAGCAACATAATACTAAATCATCGTCAACACGCGCTGACCAGAAGCCGCAACAGCAACAGCAGCAACACCAACAACAATTGACAATGGCAGTTAGAGCAGGCGCTAGTTTGCTTTCATTTGATTGCCCTCCAGCATGTGTGAGTGTGTGTGTGTGTGTCGATTTCAATGTCTGCTAGCAGCAGGTTTTACTGCTGGCCTGGGCCAAGACGTTGGCTGGCCAAATCGCATTGGCACAAGTGGATAAGGAAATAAATGTTTGGCTTGTGCGCAAGGATGTGCGCATAAATCAAGGATTTGTTTGCGGATTGTTTCTGCCCAAGCAGCCCTGACGCCCCCAGCTGCAGCCGTAGCTGCCACAAAAGGTAGTTGACTTGACTGCCAGAAAAGGAAAGCAACAAAAAAAAAGCAAAACAGAAAAGAACTTGCGTAGCCATTGACCTTTGGGCCGTACGTGGCGTATGCGTAATCTAATTTAATTGAATTAAGCCGTGACATAAGCTGAAGGCAGCGCTGCTTTAAAGCTCTAAACAACTTTAAAGTTATGACACTCGAGCGTAAATATATATTTATATATATATATATAAATATTTTAGCCAACTTATGCAAATTGTCGCACAGCGACTCGATTGCAGCTTATTGAAAAGCATCTTCAGCGCTGTCATCGTGCTGCTGCTACTTCATAAACGCCCGCTGAAGCGTTAAATTGCATTCGCTACCTTTATTGTTGCTGTTGCTGTTGTTGTTGCTTTTGGCCTGGCCAAAGAGCAAGCCGTGCAAATCCGTGCAGCTCAGCGTGTGGCAAATGACATGAAAGGGTTTTTCTTTTCTTTTCTTTTCTTTTTTCGCCGTTCTTTGTAAAGCCAAAGAGCGCCTGGATTTGTGGC